CTCGAGCAAGGAAGTAACGCAGAGTGATGTGCTTCGTTCTGTGCTCCTGTCTGTGCTCCTGACACAAGGCAATCATGGCCTTGTTGTCTACGTACAGAACTGGAGGAGAACGAGACCGCTCTCCCAAGTCGGTCAGCAGGTAGGCAAGTCAGCGTAACTCCTGTGCAGCCATGGCCCCTGCACAGATCTCAGCCTCACAACTAGAACTGAGAATAGAAGAAGAGCGGGTAGACCGCCAAGAAACAGAGCCGTAGCCAAGGCTGAAAGTGTAACCCTGTGACGACCGCTGCGTAGCCAAGTCGTCAACCCAAGATGCGTCTACGTGTCCAGTGTGGACAACTGGACCCCGTCCTCCACGCACGAGCCCCATGCCCGATCTACTGCACAAGTAGCGCAACACCCTCTACGCGGCCTCCCAGTGCTCTGGTCGGTGTCTCCCAGGCGCGACGTAGCGTGCCAGGATGCTAAGAGGGTAGGCAAGGTCAGGTCGAGTGCAGGTCATCAGGTACATGAGGTAGCCCACAAGCTCTGGATACGGGCCACTCGGCTCTACGGACTCGTCCGAAGGTGGAGCTGAGAGCGAGTGACCGGTAGGCAGAGGAGTGGACCGTGGCGAGGAGAAGTGGAAGCCGAAGCGCTGAAGGACCTGGTGCACCATGTGTGACTGAGTCAGGGTGATGGTGCACCGTGCTCTGTCCTGGGTGATCTGCAAGCCAAGATAGCTGCGCAGCTCACCCAGGTCAGTGCAGGTGTGTCTCTTCTACAGTTCCGACTTCACAAGGGCCAATGCCTCAGTGTCAGCAGTGGCAAAAACCAAGTCGTCGACGTACACGAGGATGTAGAACGGCAACAGTGAAGTTTCGGTGCGCAGAAACAGCGATGGGTCAGCAGTCGAAGGAGCAAACCCAAGAGCCGCAAGCGTTGTCCTCAGTGTGTTGTGCCACTCACGAGGCGCCTGGCGGAGACCGTAGACTGGCCGCCGGAGGCTCTACTGGGTACCTGCAAGAAACGACCCAGTGAAGCCAGGTGGGCGGCGCAGCCAAATCTCCTCATGCAGGCTGCCCTGCAAGAAAGCTGTGCTGAAGTCAAGAGAGTGCAGCACGTAGTCACGCTGAGCTGCGATGTGCAGCAGAACCCGAAGGATGGTCATCTTCGGGGTAGGGGAGAAGGTCTGGAAGAAGTCAACTCCTTGTCGTTGACTGAAGCCTTGTGCAACGTAACGAGCCTTGAAGAAAGGCGGAGAAGCAGGCGGCCGCTTCACCCTGAAAATCCACATGCCATCGACTTTGTTTGCCCCAGGAGGGGGAACTGCGTCGACGTACGTGCCTGTGGACTTCCAGGATACCATCTCTGCGTCCATGGCTGTCCGCCACTAAGAGCAGTAGGGACCCGTAATCGCCTCTGCGTAAGAGCGCATGGCCATGAGATGAGGCACAGCAGCTGCAAGACACTCAAAGTCCACCTGCCTGTCCTCAAGGACGTCCGTGCCAAGAGCACACTCACCCCCGACGGATGGAGGACAGTCAGACTCAGACTCAGCAACAAGACTAGCGGCGTAGTCGAGACGACAGGCGGCATCAAAGTCAACAAGCTCAGCAACAAGGGAAGACGCAACAGCGGACTCAAACGAAGGGTCACTGACAACAGTGGCTAGAAGACGTGGGTCAGTAGGACAGGCAACACGAACTAAGTCAGACTTAGGGTCCGGGCCGTCAGCAAGAGAGGACGCAGGAGGAGACAGCAGGGGAAATCATTGAGGAACAGAGGATGGACAAAGTGCCATAACGTGAGTGCCGGGGACAGGAGGAGGACGCGGACGAGGAACACGATGACCAGTGCGAACTGCGCGAACAGGCGAGGGAGGACGAGATTCAGGCTCACGACGCTCTGTAAGAGAGTCTGTCTTCTCAGCGTAAGGAGAAGGACCAGGTAGTGGGGAGTCTAGCTGTAACTGTGGTCGCAACTGGTGAGGCGGTGGACATGGCAAGCTAGGAGTAAGGCCAGTAGAAGTCGGGAGACTAAGAACCCTGCAAAGGACCGAGACAGGTGGCGGCAGAGACGACGGTGGTGGCGGAACGAAAAACGGTCGTCGCTGCACAGTGCCTCCAGCACCAGTACCGCCAGCTCCAGCACCCCCAGTGCCAGCACCTCCAGCTCCAGGGTCTCCAGCTCTAGCGCCTCTAGCTCCAGGGTCTCCAGCTCCAGTGCCTCCAGCTCCAGCGGCTTCAGCGCTAGTGCCTCCAGCTCCAGGGTCTCCAGCTCCAGTGCCTTGAGCTCCTGCGCCTCTAGCACCAGCGCCTCCAACTCCAGTGCCTCCAGCGGTAGGGCCTCCAGCTCCAGGGTCTCCAGCTCCAGCTCCTCCAGCTCCAGCGGCTTCAGCGCTAGTGCCTCCAGCTCCAGGGTCTCCAGCTCAAGTGCCTATATCGCCAGGGTCTCCAGCTCCAGTGCCTCCAACACCACCAGCTCCGGCAGCTCCAGTACCTCTAGTATGAGCACCTCCAAGACCAGCAGCTCCAGCAACTCCGGGACCTCCAGCCCGAGCAGTAACTCCAGCACCTCCAGCTCCAATGCCTCCAGTGGCAGGGCCTCCAGCTCCAGGGTCTCCAGCTCCAGCTCCTCCAGCTACAGCGCCTCCAGCGCCAGTGCCTTCAGCTCCAAGGTCTCCAGCTATAGTGCCTCCGGCTCCAGGGTCTCCAACTCCAGCGCCTCCAACACCACCAGCTCCGGAAGCTCCAGTACCTCTAGTACGAGCACCTCCAGGACTAGTATCTCCAGCACCTCTGGTACCTCTAGCTCCAGCAGTAACTCCCGCACCTCCAGGACTAGTAGCTCTAGCACCTCCAGCTCCAGTGCCTCCAGCGGCAGTGCCTCTAGCTCCTGCATCGGCACTCCTAAGGCGTGTGCGCTGAGAAAACAACTCGCGCAGCTGCTGCGGTGAGAGAGGCTCCCGCCGGTGAGAGAGTCGTGGCGAGGCACCCACAGGACCTCCGGCAGACGCAGTACCCCGAGGCTCAGCACCCCCAAACTCCGCACCCTCAGACTCAGCACCCTCCGGCTCCGCACCCTCAGGCTCAACACCCCCAAGCTCCACACCCTCAGGCTCAGCACCCCCAGACTCCGCACCCTCAGACTCAGCACCCCCGGGCTCCGCACCCTCAGGCTCAGCACCCCCAGGCTCCGCACTCGCAGGCTCAGCACCCCCAGGCTCCGCACTCGCAGGCTCAGCACCCCCAGACGCAGCGAAACAACGAAACGCTGTCTCTAGAATCGCTCAGTAGGTACAGCTGTAAGTCTTCGAAGCACGTATCGAACTGGATCGGACGGCCCTCATGATCGAAGGTGAGAACACTGAGAGAAGCCATACGGTAGCGGGCAGAGTAGGGTGGCGTGCGACCAGCAGGGCAGCACGCAGGCAGGGCGGCGCGCGAGCACTAGGGAAGCGCGCAGGGCAGGGCGAGGCGGCGTACGGCTAGGGAAGAGCGGCGCGCGGCCAGGGCAGGGCAGCGCAAATGGCAGGGCAGGGCGGCGTGCGGGCAGGGCAGGGCGACGCGCAGGCAGAGCAGGGTGGCACGGCGGCCAGCAGGGCGGCGCGCGGGCAGGGCAGGGTGACGTGGCGGCCAGCAGGGCGACGCGACAGGCAGGGGAGGGTGGCGCGCTACCAGCAGGGCGGCGCGACGGGCTGGGCAGGGCAGCGCGCGGCCAGCAGGGCGGCGCGACAGGCAGGGCAGGGCGGCGCGACGGGCAGGGCAGGGCAGCGCTTTGCCTGCAGGGCGGCGCGACGGGCAGGGCAGGGCAGCGTGCGGCCAGCAGGGTGGCGCGACGGGCAGGGCAGGGCAGCGCGACTAGTGGGGCAGCGCTACGAGCAGGGAATTACGCGGTGGGCCCAAAAAAAAAAAACGGTCCTGGAACAGGACCTGCTCTGAAACCGTGTCAGAATACTGAACGAGAATGGATGAACTAAGATCAAAGTGGTTACAAGTACTAACCCTAGGTGGATTGTACCCCTTATGGGCTACCCCACTACAGCCTACACAATATAAGCATCATAACATTTTGACAAAGATCTCCTTCTAAAAAAATGACATACAAATCGAGAACGCAACCAGGTCAGAAGCGCGTATGTACACAAAAGCTTCTCGCCCTGATTTTAGTTCGACCTGAACCCGTACGCCAAAGTCAGGGCCGGCTCAAACATACTGGCAGCTCAACCTCCTAAGTTCTGGCCCCACACATACTGGCAGCCCTGGTCCTCTCTAGCAATACCACCAATGATAAGATAACCAAAGACACGCAATTCCACATTCTTTCCAGGAGAACTATTTTTATTTCCACGAGCGCAACACTACACGCCTTCCCTTCCGGGGTGGCTCTTCCGAAATCGTGTCAATCGGAAAGCTTGAACTCGCTTTATTTCCCATCACACTCCCAAAACCCGGAAAACATTATCGTAGCCACATCAGCATGGTCTCCAAACGTGCTGCAAGCAATGTCCACTAATCGCAATTGTTCTGAATGCAGTTGTTGTACTTCCCCCCGCAGCTGCCCCTATTGAACTCCTTGCAGCGATCGTAAAGCATCTTGCACAACTCCTTGCAAGTCGGCGGCGGCGGCGGCTTCGTCGGGGGGAACTTGCAGATCTTGAAGCGCTTGTACGCCTTGGCGATGCATCGGTCGGTCTTTTCCTTGCACTCGTCCGTTGCGCAGCTGTGATCCCTCGTGCATTCCTTGCTGCTTTTCTTAAATTCCTCCATGCACGTCGGGCCCGGGGCTTCAACATGAGTCAGGACGTGCCTGCTTTCCCCCACCGCAGAGGCATCCTCTGTGAGAACACAGTACGGGAATTCCAAGGAAATAGGTGTCAGGTGATGAAAAATGTAGAAACATGCTTTGCGTCACGCATTTCAATAAACAATCACGAAATCAGCAGAGAATATAGTCTTTACCAGGATCGAAACTGCTTGGCGTCCTAAACCCTGCATAATTCGGCGCGAGAGGCTTACCAGGCACAGCTGGAGTGGCATCGAACGCAAAAACTGCGTTCTCCTCCGCAGCTGAAGTTATGGCGAGGAGTGCGGACAACAGAACCAACCCGGAGAGGAGCGCGAAAGTCTTCATGGTGGCAGGAAACTGGGGCAATGGCACCGGCAATGGCTGAGTTTAGGACGATAGATGGAAGGCGGCTGGTCAAATGGCGTGACCTCAGAAGAGTTGCTGCTGTTTTGGGAAGAGAGTAGGGGCATATTTATAGTCGTAAGCAGTAAGCAAAGGCTGGATATCCCCACATTTCGTGGAATCGCGTCACGAATCATGGTTGAGATTCGAGAGGAGGAGAATCGCGACGGGAGAGGCTCTCCCGAGGCGCGAAAAATAGTGTTGGCAAGAATTGGTGAAAAAATGGTGACTCGATTGCGACTTCAAGTTGTGCGACGACAGATGCGCCTCAGCTTCTTGATTAGGTTCGCTGTGAAGGGTACAGATATGCACTCTGCCACACAAGACTGCCTCTCAGCCTGCGCCATCAAGAAAAGCATACATGAACTTCTCGAAAATTAGCTGACTTGGTAAGCGTCTCGCATCGCAGTCCAACATTTGCAGCATCAAACTGAACTACCCAAATTTGAAGAACACAAATTTGGTTTCTTTGCTTGCACCCGATTTCCTGCTCGCGCCTGAGAGGTTCAAAACCGAGGCGCTGTTCTTCTGGCCATCGCGGGAGCTTCCTTCCGCATCAAAAGACGGCGGCGGCTCGCCTTTGGCTGAGATGGCGCACTTGCTTCGGCAGACAGCATTTCGAAGAAGCTAGGTTTGTGAAGGGAGCTGGTATACGTCCGAACCGAAGCCTAACGTCCTGGCTTTGGTTGTGCGATATACCCTGTTTCGTTATTTGCGTTTATAGGTACTCTGTAAGGACATGTTCGTATTACATCAGGAGATTAAGCCGTTTCATCACATCAGGGAAGGTTCCGAAACTTTTATGCATCATCACATGATTTCACACGCCTGATCCTATTCTCCTCGTACACACACACAAAACGTCACAATTTCATGATGCTCCCGACAAACAAAGTTTATTCCCACTCACCCAACTGCCTTATCCCAGCGACCATCACATGCGACTCCGCACAAGCAGGCACTTCCTGCATCATCCATACCCAATTCAGCAATCGTTCTTGCAGCGCTTGTACTTATAGTCGCAGTTTTCGTCGTCATCGTCCTTGCACTGCTTCTTTACGTACTTGCACCAGTCATAACAGCTGTTAGACGACGAAGGCTTCGCGTCGCCGTACTTGCACGCCTTAAATTTCTTGTACGCCTTCGCCTCGCAACTGTCAATCTTCCTCGAGCATGCGGAGCTGTCGTACGACGAGTCGTTATAGTCGCAGCACTTGTGACCCCTCCTGCATTTCGACTGGCTTGTCTTGAATTTTCCCAGGCAAGACGAGTCGTAGTTGTTGTCATGGCTCAAAACCCGCCTGTTCGCCAGAGAAGAGACCCGGTCTGCATGCACAGGCGCGCAATGTTCTCGTCAATTCTGTCAGCAATTCCGAATTGTGGGTCTGTGTTTGCATTGCGCGCAACGAGCTTTTGAGGGACATATTTCCCTGAATGTTCTACTTACCAGGGACGGCGTTAACAGCGAAGAGCAGAACGGAGAGCAGTAAAATCCCGCAGAGGAGGGTGGAAGTCTTCATACTGGCTAGCAGGCGGAAATCCCTCACGCTGAACTGAATGTGATCACGGGTGATCAAATAGTGATTCACTGCTTGTGGTAGAATAAATGATTTGGCGTGGAATATATATTTGCGAATGGTCCTGTTGGGGGCTGAATTTTGTGAGAGGAAATGCAGGAACGCGAGTGCCCGCTCTTCCCTAGCTAGCCGATTTCGACAGTCAGCTTGGAAGCGGCTCGTTTGGACACTTGGTTCGGTTTCGGCTTGGAAGCCGACATGTTTGCGCTATTGGTTCGAGGAGCATCTTCCTCGGTCTGGCCCCCACTGGGAGATCGCCACGCTGCTCGGCTGGTTGGGAAGGTCTGTGGCGCTGGAGGAACTAGGTCTGGGAAAGTGATCGGTCAGGCTTCATGTGAGCTGGAAGGGGGTCTGAAGGAGTTGTTGGGATTGAAAGAACCAGGGGCAAGATGACAGCTTCAGGTGAATTTGTTGCACTTCCACATGAGAGGGAACCTGACAATCTGTACGATTAGTGTGGTGATGGACACAGCTTGTGTCCAAGAACCCTTGACCCTGCTTGTATAAACAGCAATCTGGCACTTGTTTTTCTCTCTGCCTGAGATTTATGCCTCTGCTTGCACTGTATAACCAGCAATTGGGATTTCTTCCGAAGGTCTGTTGTTGACCCTTATAACATGGTGCCCGCAAATGTTTCTCTGCAAAAACATTGCCAGGGATGCATCCCACTGGTATCGCGCTTTGGTGAACAAGCCTGTGAGCCGAACCTGGAGGTCAGCTCAGACACTTGACGGTACTTGACCGGCGTTCTGTGGTTGGGAGAAGTTTGTGAGGCTAGAGAAGTAACGTACCATACAGCCCAGTTCCAGCCCCAGCTTTTCAACCACGTCATACACCTAATGTACCTGGATGGCCAGTTGCTTGCTTCAATGTACACGGAATAGGATGTCACACGGAAACTAATTGTCAAAGTTTCGTAGTACTTTGTAATACAATTTTTAACCCCTGCACCACATTATGCTCCTTTTATTAAGCACGTAATGCTATCTGCATCTGTTCTACTTTAAAAACATGTATATATTCGTCCTTTTACAGCACAATGTTCTACACCTTTTAAAATTGATCACATTGCTATTTTGCAGCATGGAGAGTTCTCCATAGTAGAGTGAGATGTGTTAGTGTTCTCAACCCGGAGTTTCTTATTGTGACAACAAATTAAGATGCATAGACGTGTTCTGAGATGCTACCTAGACTCCAGCTTTTTGTGGAAATCTTTAAGACTATTTGTAGAAAAATGGTTTGTTGCAACAATATTTTATTTCCTCTTCGATTACAACACAACACTGTCAGCATCTAAAGTCCCACCCCACCAACTAAGAACACATAAAAAACTATCAATCCAGAAAAAAATTGCCCATCTTCAGCCCCTTGTTGAGAATTTCCCCGTCCACCGGAGTGTGGGCGAGGTCTCTGGCTCAGAGATACGGGACCAGAGGTTGAGCATATGCACTGCGTATTGTAGTCCAAGCTCTAGACTTGGAGGAGAACGAGGCCGCTCCCCCAAGTCGGACAGCAGGTAGGTCAGCCTGCGTAGCTCATGTGCAGCCATGGCCCCAGCGTAGATCTCGGCCTTACAGTTGGAACCAAGAGCAGAAGAAGAACGAGTGGACCTCCACGAGACAGAACCAGAGCAAAGACTGAAGGTGTAACCCTGTGACGAACGCTGAGTCACCTGGTCGTCGGCCCAAGAAGCGTCGGAGTTTCCTGTGAGTACCATTGAACCCTGTCCTCCAAGCACGAGCCCCATGCCCTATGTACTGCACAAGTAACGAAGTACCCTCTTCGCAGCATCACAGTGCACCTTTCGGTGTCTACCGGGAGCCACGTAGCGAGCCAGGAGGCTGAGAGGGTACGCGAGGTCAGGTCGTGTGCGCGTCATCAGGTAAATGAGGCAACCCACAAGCTCTGGGTATAGACCACTCGGCTCTACAGACTCATCCGAAGGTGGAGCTGAGAGAGAGTGGCCGGTAGACAGAGGAGTGGGCTGTGGCGAGGAGAACTGGAAGCCGAAGCGTTGAAGGACCTGGTGCACCATGGTGCACCATATGTGACTGAGTCAAGGTGATGGTGCGCCATGCTCTGTCCCGGGTGATCTACAAGCAAAGATAGCTACACAGCTCACCCAGGCCAGTGCAAGTGTGTCTCTCCTACAGCTGCGCCTTCACTAGGGCCAGCGCCTCACTGTCAGTTATAGCAAAAACCAAGTCGTCGACGTACACGAGAAGGTAGAACGGCGGCAGGGTAGTGTCAATGCGTAGAAACAGTGACGGGTCAGCGGAGGAAGGAGCAATCCCAAGAGCCGCAAGTGTAGTCCTCAGTGTGTCGTGCCACTCTCGGGGTGCCTGGCGGAGACTATAGACTGGCCGCCGGTGGCTCTACTGGGTACCTGCAGGAAATGACCCAGTGAAGCTAGGTGGGCGTTGCAGCCAGATCTGCTCGTGAAGGCTGCCCTACAAGAAAGCTGTGGAGAAGTCGAGGGAGTGCGGCTCGTAGTCACGCTGTGCTGAAACGTGCAGCAGCACCCAAAGAGTAGTCATCTTCGGGGTGGGGGAGAAGGTATGTAAGAAGTCGACCCCTTGTCACTGACTAAAGCCTCGAGCAACGTAACGCGCCTTGAAGTCAGGCGGAGAACCCAGTGGCCGTTTCATTCTAAAAATCCACATGCCATCGACTATGTTCGCCCTAGGAGGAGGAACCTCGTCGACGTAGGTGCCTGTGGACTTCCAGGAAGCCATCTCTGCGTCCATGGGTGTCTGTCACTGAGAGGAGTACTGACCCGTAATCGCCTCAGTGTAAGAGCGCGGGTTAGGGATGTCAAGTGCATCCGGGTTTCCCTCAGGCCAAAGCAGTTTAGATGGAAAACGAGGTAAAGCGGCCACAAGACACTGAAGCTCAAACTGTCTGTCCTCAAGTACGTCACTGCTAAGGGCAGGCTCACCCCCGACGGACGGAGGACAGACAGACTCAGACTCAGTGAGAAGAATCGTGACGTAGTCGAGACGACTCCTAGCTGCAAAGTCGACTAGCTCAGTGACTAGGGAAAACGCTGTAGTACACTCAAGGTCAGGGTCAGTGACGACAGTAGCGAGGAGACGAGTGACAGTAGGACTGGCAACACGAGCAAGGTCGGAATCAGGGTCAAGAACGTGCGGGAGAGAGGACGCGGGAAGCTCAGGCAGGATAACATGCTGTGGAACAGAGGAAGGACGAAGTGCCATACCGTGAGTGCCTGGGACAGCAGGAGGACGAGGACGGGCGATACGACGAGCACGAACAGGTGTGGAAACATGAGCCTCATGCTCACGATGCCCAATCAGAGACTCAGTCACCTCAGTGTGAGGAGCAAGAGCAGGCAGCGAGGAGCCCGGCAGGAGTTGTGGCGGAGACTAGTCTGTCTGTGAACACAGGAGAGGTGGAGTGAGGCCAGTGGAAGATGGGAGACTTAGAGCCTGGCGAGGGACCGAG